GAGCTATTTCTAAGCCAGTCCTCAAACTACGACCGTGTACGTCAAAAGTAAAAAGCAAACTGAGAAGTAATTAGCTAATCAACGAGTATTTGTTGATAATTTCATACTTTGCCGGGTATCTCTTAGGCATTCTATAGAATGCCTAGGCAAAGTGTGAAATATAGACTTATTCTGTACTTTGCCTAACTCTGTTAGGCATTCTATAGAATGCCTGATTATACACTTTGCCAGTAACATATACATTCTTTAGTATTTTAAATTTTCAGTCTTTATCTAAGTTTAAAGACTATCATTTTTCAATTTAATTCTGATAAATAATAATACAACTGCTTCGGGACATAAATACCACAAATAGATTTGGAATTTATTCACATTTTCTTCAAATATACCAGGTTTAATAGATTTGTAATTGAGAAGTTTTTAAAAATATTATAAAATCATCATAAGGTGCGTGAATTGCATTGACCACTGTGTACCAGAATTTAAAGTAAATAAATACAATAAATTAACAGATTTTTTATAGTAAATTTTCAGCTTGTTTTATCAAGTGGAAGGAGTCTCAATACAAGTATATTTTCGAATTGAAAACAGCTTTCAACATTCATCTTGCATGATGGCATGAAGCTGGTTTATAAAACTTATTCCAGTAGTTGTCTCAGCTGCCAGCAATAAAAATTTAATTGAAGCACTTCACGATAGTCATCACGAGCCAATTTTTTTTTCAAACAGGTACGGATAAACTTAATTATTGCTTCTTTACGTTTAATTATACACTTGATTATGCAATCCAAACCATTTTTGTAATTTTTTTCTTTTATACATGGCTAAGTAGTTCTTTAAATAAAGAAACGCTTGGTCCACAAGTGACTGGAAATTTTTTCTTAAAACATGCACATACCGGAAATTTTAAAATGTGACGACGGCATGGCAAGTGCAGGAAGTATTTTTAACAACTGCTTAAGAGCTGTTGCTACACCAATATTACGATTTAAATTCGAATTCGTAGCATCACAACACAAGGCTTCAACCTTTTTACGCAAGCTCCACTCATGAAGAGTAGCAAAAATTCGCTTGAGATATTCCTTTATCATTTGGTAAAGAAGATACGTCTAATGTTTTTTTTAATACTACCTGTGCTAACTTAAATGGGTAAACCATCTTCTTGCTTGCATATTATTGTTTTTCTGTCCCAATGTACCATGAAAATTTTTAATCTTTTTATTTAAATAACTTTCTCATCATTTTAGCTTTCTTTTTTTAGAACGAAGTTCTTTACGTCACGTACTGGGGGGGCTGGAACTTTAAAAACGACAGATTGTATGAAACGGAAGTGGCTTACTGGAAGTCTCTTCCTCCTAAGTTTACCCCCTTACCCCATCGCCTTCACCATCGGTCCCTTACACACTTCCCCTCACCCAACCGCAACCTACATCTTCCTACCGTCTTGCCCTACCCTCCCCCATACCACGGCTTACTATTCCCTTCACACTCCCAAGAAATTTATTTTTAAACGAATTTTGTTTTCCTACAATAATTTTTATATAACTTTTTTCTTCTACAATTAAAAAACAAAAAAAACACTTTCCAATAAGGAGATTTGAACCCTCGAGCACCTGAATACGAGTCGAGTAGCTTACCAACTCTGCTACGAGCGCTGCAAACTATAGGAAATCGGGTTCTTGTACTTTTCCGTGGTTGGTAACTTATTTTTTATTTTCATATGCATTCACTGATAATACATTCAACTAGTGATAAATTATTTATTTAATTATTTTTTAAAACGAAGTTCTTTATGTCACGTGCTTGGGGGCTGAAATTTTCAAAACGACAGATTTCCACAAAACGGAAGTCGCTTACTAGAAGTCTCTTGATTCTAAAAAAAAATTTTTTTTTTAAATAATAAAGTAAAAAAAACAAAAAATTTAATTAGCATAAATATGATTATGTAGATTAAATAGAATAAGGCGCGTTATTACGCATTAAATATTAGTATTTTATGCATTTAATGCATAAAGTACTGTATTTATGCATGACGTACTTACGAAATTCAACTATCGTGAGTACTGAACTAAATTTTCTTATTTTTTTAAATTCTTTTTTCTAGTTTTTGTTCCAGTGAACTACATGAATGCAGTACTTATTTTTATAGAGCTTCATTTTTCCTATGGGTCTGGTGACCCCCTTGTTACCTGAGAAATTGTGTGTTTGTTTCTTTTAATTTGTTTTTTTTTTTTTTTTTCATTTCTTGTTTAATCACAATTTTAATGCTTTTGAAAGAAGTCTTATTTCAAATTAAATCTTCCAAATTGAATTCCAAAACAGTAGATATTAAGTCAATTAGGATAACAGAATTTCGGTAAGGAATATGGCAATAATCCAAAGATGACAGGATACTTTCTGTCAAAATATTTACTCACCCTTGATTGTTTTTATTAGAATAGTTGAAACGTTTTATTAAGAAAACTGATATTACGCTATCTTAAGACATTAGATCAATTTTTTCTGTCAAGGTCAATTGTAAATTTTTTAATTTTTTAGAAAAAAACTAATTTTAAACGTATTAAAAATTGCGACACTTTTGAACTTTATCGAACCAAATACTAGTTTCTCTCGAATAATTATCAAAATTTTAACCCACAGTAAAATTATGCTTTGCTCAATTGTCCGACATCCCCTTCATAAAATTTTTGATCTTCAAGTCTAGTACAGAATTTTCGAATTCTATCTCTTATGAATAAGAGACTTCAGAAACTTTGGGCACAGATATTTATTCTTTTGTGATTATTTGTTCACAAAAAAAAAATTAAAAAATAAATAAACACAATTAGCACAAAACATTTTTTCATTGTAGTTTAATATGAAATTTGGTTATTTTAAAAATAACTAAATGGTATGACGCAAAACACAAGATTTTTCATAATTCCATTCGATTTAATGTTTCATTTGTGAGAATTTCTACAATATTTTCTGGATACATCATTAAGATTTTATGGTGTAAAATGTTAATACCATTTTTAATTTGATTTTAAAAGCATCTTACTTTTTCTTTACTAAATCTTTATAATTGTATTTCATAAAAAATCGATGTTTTTTAGGTAATCTTTATAATTTTTCACAACAAAAAAACTTCCTGACGTGTCTTAAGACTAACTTTATCCCAAAAATATATTACTTCTTGTATAGCAATTGCATTTCGCGCCCTCGGTAAAAAAAAAAAAACGTTATACGCGACTCGGGCACCATCATACAATAACCGCGCCCTTCGGGCGCTCATGTTTGTACTTTATGCCCTAGTGACATAATGCACCGATGTCCTTATACATCCTAAATTCTATGCTCACGTTTATGTCTTTTAAAACACGATTATACTACTGATTACAAATTATTTAAAGAATCACGGAAGAAATATATATTTTAAGAACTTCTTAAAAGTAGTTTAAGATTTTAATTAAATATTACTTTGAAAGTGCAGAGCTTAAAATATTCACGATCTTTTAAATAGGCTATATAGTACGGTATGGTTAATTATAATTTAATTAGGATGATTATTGAAAGATTATTTCAGACTATTTTAGTGAGTCTTAAACAGTGCCTTTATCATTTTTAAAAATGTAGCAAAACTTATGTAAATAACTAATAAACTAATCAATTGTAACTATATATTTGATCAATTGTTTCAATAATAACTGTAGACAAAGTAAGTAAGTCTTCATCGGTGGACAAATCTTGTTGATGGTTAAATATAAAATTAAATACATCCTTCACTTTGTTTTTCTTTAGTTTTCACTTACTATCAGAAATAAAATTCAAGAAAATGAGTGCAAACAGTATCAGAGCAAAGTGGGTATCTACTCGAGAACCTGTTTTGCCCGTGCACCGGTATTTATTGAAGTAATACTTACTTTAAAAAGTTTAAAACAAAAGGCCAATATTTTTGGCTCAATTAAAACTATAACAAGCTCAAATGAATACAAAATGAATCATGATATAATAAGTATATTCGTTTCTGATTAATAAAAAAAAGGTCCCTTAATATTTTTAAATTAAATTGTTAATTTTCTGATAATTACGTGATATTACACCATACCACTGCATTGAAGCTTGTATGGACTAAGCGAAACTCGGAAGTACTTGGGTGACCTTAACTGTTTTTGTACAAGATTCATTACATTATTTAGTTCACACCCAACACATTTGTCAATAGAATTGTGAAGAAAAAAGCAGTTAGCTCGGTCAAAGCAGTTAAAACTAAAAAAAATCATAAAGTGATTTACCGTACTTTTTGTTTTTACCAGAATCAAAGTTGTGCGCCGAGTTTTCGTAAAATAAGATGAATTCAAGTACTTATTGTTGGTTTTTTTGACAAAAGAACCAAACCTCATGTCGAGCTTGTATAAAACTTTTTTGTATGCATAAAATTTACCTTCAGAAATATTTAAGCTCTTTCTGACGTTACATACCCATATTATTGGCACCAAGTGATTAAAATTTTTTTTAGATTTGATAATTAACTATTGTAAATTCCCTCACCAGATTAATTAGTGTAAAAGCATCTACAAATGATAATTACTCACGGCGTTTTCGATAGAAGACTTTGGCAATGTTCTACTTAAACGTTAAGTCAATCTTTTGAGTGTAAAACTCTACGCACTGATAGAAATGTTAAGACTAAAACAAGAATTTTTGTTTCAGCTACGTCAGTTGAGAGCCAGATCACTCATTTTGTTATTTACTGAATAATTAGTAACTGAAGTAGTACGTGCAATGGTGACTATATTAAAAAGTTGTAGAAGCTCTACCAAAATGTTACCAGTTGATGACTTTTAAAACTATGCGTGCATGTGCATGTATTAATGTGTGACCACATTAAAAGTACTGGATTTGTTAAGATGAATTTTTGTAAATTACAACTTAATTAGAATTAGCAACACAGTTTTATTCATTTGTTATGTTTTACTGTGAATTTTAAATGAAAAAAAGTGTGTTATAATATACGTTACCGAAATTAAATGTTCAGTCGGAGAGATTTGTTGTGGAATTGTAGGTGCACTTTGTTCAGTGCTTATTTCATCCATTTGTGTTAAGTCCACTCTTGTGTCATCCATTCCTTCTTGAACTACCTGTGCTAAGCCTGATGTACTTGGATTATACATCGCTCTTTCATTACTAGCTGATGTACTTGTATGAGCTGATGTTAAAGTAGATGAGACAGGAATAGATGTTTCTCCGAATACAAATCTATTTTGAGGCACCTGCGGAGAATTAATTGCCTCGCCAAATCCATCGCTTCTTCTAGGGACGAATAAAGTTGGTGTACTAGGGACTATACAGTCATCGCCTATTTCTTCATATGCTTGCTGTGGCTGTAAATTTTTGATACGAACTACTGTATATTTTTTTCAATTTTAATGGTACAATTAGGATCTGACACATAGGTTTATAAATATTTTTTAACTTTAGGAAACATTAAATGAAATAATGAAATACAAAACAAAACGTAAAACTAATAGATATCAGATCATCACCCTTTTCTTTATTTTTTTATCAACAATAAGGAAAAAAAGTTAAATTTTTTCCAATTTTTTTTTCATAATTTCTCCCCTCTCATGCATACATCAATACATAGTGTTCTTAGAAAACTTGTAGATGAGTAAGTTACTTATCTATAAAATAGGACGTGCAGCAGTATTTTATATGCCAATCAACCAAACTTGAAAAATCGTATATATCTCGGCTTCTGCTTTACCTAAAGAAATTGTTAAGTACATAATTCGGAATGGTAACGAGACAAAACAAACCATCAAAATTATATCGTTGAAAAAAAGTTTACAATTGAATTACATCATTGAAGTCATTGTCAATTTTTTTGGCAGTTTGAACACTTAAAAAATGTAGTTATTATTGATAATCAAACCAGACTTTTTTAAAAATATCATATTGTCAGAGATTAGTAGAGAGATTGCTGACTGTAATGCTACGGTGCGAGTTCACTTTTGGCCACTGTTTTGAGCGCCCTGTCGCGGCCAAGCGGTCGAACTAGGCGCACATTTTTTTTTTCTTATTTGAGAAGCGTGGAGGGGGTATACCGTATGTGACTACGGATTCGTGTGGAAATGGGCGTGTAGGCACATACTTCGGATATTCACACTGAGTGTGCGCTTGTCGAGTCACGTGGAAATGGGCAAGTGGCCCACATTATGAAGACGCATGGAAGGGGTATGACGTATGACGATATAGTGAGCCTGTAATGCTCCCGTACCAACGAGTATCTTATTTTGGTCCTCGATTCAATTCCTGACTTTTTTTTTCCTGCAATTCAACATATTTTTGTTGCATTATTATTAAATTTTTTTGTTATATNAAAAAAACCCTGCGTCTGAGCAAAATAAAAATGAGTTACAAAAAAAAGATGTTTTGAACCGAACATTTTGTTCAGCCAAGTGTAAGCAGTATACGCGATCTTAAGAGCGTCGGATAAAATTATTAGAAGAAAAAGTAATATCTTTGAAAAAAAATTTTAAAAAATGTTAAAGATCAAAACTTTCGACTAAAACATGTGTATTCTTATTTTGGTCCTCGATTCAATTCCTGACTTTTTTTTTCCTGCAATTCAACATATTTTTGTTGCATTATTATTAAATTTTTTTGTTATATTCTTTAAATATTTATTGATATAACAAGCCTCATGCTACTTTAAAAAAGGTAAGTACAAACACAATTTTACCTAGGTATTTTTATTCAACAGTAATAAAATAATAAGCCATACCTTTAGTTTCCATGCAAATTATTTAAAGATCGTCCCGTACCTTCTAGACTGATTCCCGCGTTAAGCCGGGCGACTGTCTTATGTCTTATAGCTCAACGGCCTACCGCCCGCGCCGCGCCGTGAGCTGCAATCATGCGTTGATGTGACAGTCTGCAGCTAACGTACTTTCTTATTGTTTTTGTTGTGCATACACACATTGACCGTTAGTACGACAAATACCGAGGTTAAACATTTTTCTGATTAAATATTTGTCTGATCATTTTTTGTTTGCTTTTTACTATATTACGGTTGTGTATCCACGGGCTACGATGTTTTTTCAGCGATTAAATAAAAATGGCATCAAGACCGTACGACTTTTGTCAATACAGGGGCTGCACAAAATCGAAGCTTTCCAGTGAGAAGCTCTACAGATTTCCAGATGCCACATATCAAAAGGATCGTCACGTCGCCTGGATTCAAAACACAGGTAAGCGTTAATCCACTTATATTTAATTATTCTTGGTTTAAGAACTCGGTCACGTAGAATTAACGATGAAAGCGTTTAAAATTCGTGTTCTTTTACAATCTCAATTTTTTTTATTTGTTCGTTGACAACGTTTGACATTACCATTGATATATACATATATCATTTTAATGCGAATGCGTTTGAGAAAACATTTTTTTTTTAAATTCTGATTGCCACTATACGCCTAATTTTTCCCGCTCCGGAAAATGAAAACAAGCTACAATTTTTTTGGAACCTTCTAAATTTTGCACAAGATTACTTATTTCAATGACCTTATTATTTTATTTCAATAAACAGGGCTAAGTACAGCTAAAAATATAAAATTAACACCTAACTAAAAATTATATGTATTGTTTGTTATTGTATCAACAATAAATAAAATTTAAAATATCCGACTAAAAACGAAGGGACAGGTCATTTCAGAATGATTTTACGCCAATCGCTTAAGGCGGAAACACCCATGTTCAGAGTTTTAGATTGTATAGCTAAAAATCTAGAACGAATACGCAACTAAAAATTATGCATATATTCTAGCAAATAAGCCGGAAAGGGTAGAAAAATGGGAAAACACAACCAATTTGAATGGGACCTTTTGCATTGTGTTCCCAGAACCTTAAGTAATATTCCTTATCCTTAACCTATTCTGGCAAATAAAAATTTAAAAAACTAGAGTAGTTTCAACCCTCTGTAGGCACTTTAAAAAAGCGACGTGGTGAAAAATTTCGTAAACTTGATATTTAGCCGCAAAAATGATCTCTCGGGGGGTTTTTTTTTTGGTCACTAAACACAGTTAAGACGACCGCGATAATCTCTGAGGTACTTGTTCCCCAGGGTGGAGAGTATCAACGTCATCTCTTGGACTTTTATGGAAATTTGTAACGTAGACAGTTGAGACTTGTTACTTGGGATTTTTTTGGGTTACTGAACACGAATATAAGGTTGAAGTAAAAAATTTTCTTGTCCCTGTACCTATTATAGAACAATTGTTTGTTGAAAACTCTCATATTTCGGATTAAAATCGGGTAATTAATGTTTTGCCGCAAAAATGGTATCTAAGGTGTTTTTTTGGATCCTATGGAAATGTTTTTTAATCAAAAAAAAATTTTTGATTCAAAAAAAAGATTTTTAATTAAAAATTTAGATGTACATGTTAATAATAGTTCAATTTATTTATTTTGTAAAATGACAATCACAAAATTAGAAAATTTAAAAACATTTCAGTAATATTAAAGGGCATTGAGTGCGTTGTCAAACTTTTCGAGCAAATTTATTGCTTATATAACTATCTTTAGAATGACTCGTTGAAATGAAAAGAAATCTTTGTTTATCTTGGATGCAAAACTAGAAAAGTAAATTTTGAGAAAACTGTTTGATAATAAATTGACAGCAGTTAAACACATTCTATTTGTTTTCTGTATGAAAATAACGCAAAATATTGTTTGCATACTTAGGTAACAAGAATTTTTTACGTTGGGCGGCATCTTCATTACGATCTGCAGGGTTGTGAGCAATTCATTTTTCAAAGGATGATTTCGTACAAAATATCCAAGGAAAAATTCGCTTGCGTGTCACCGCTATTCCAATTAATTGGTAATCGGCAGAACCTCAGATTATTCCACGAATATCGGATTCCACAGCAAACAAGGAACTACAAGAAAGCTAACATCAAGAAAAACCAATCGAAGCCAATGGACCAGATCAACCAATGGAAATTGATGTTGGAGGAAAACAAGAAATCACAGGTAACCATAGCGTACCGGTTAAAACTATCACCGAAAAAAGCAATGAAGCGCATTACAATGTTCTTGAAAACAATGAATCAGTGTAACGAAACATTTTAATGATTCATTGTACCCTTCTGAAAAAGATATATTCTTAAATATTGATGAAAGTGAATCAAACAAGGTTTATTTCAATTATGAAATGGTGGATGTCAGTAAAAGTATGAATGATGGCATGCCTAATTTAGTTGTACCTCAAAAAAACCCTGCGTCTGAGCAAAATAAAAATGAGTTACAAAAAAAAGATGTTTTGAACCGAACATTTTGTTCAGCCAAGTGTAAGCAGTATACGCGATCTTAAGAGCGTCGGATAAAATTATTAGAAGAAAAAGTAATATCTTTGAAAAAAAATTTTAAAAAATGTTAAAGATCAAAACTTTCGACTAAAACATGTGTATGTGTAGAAAAAGTAAAACAAGCTACAGATGCAAACGATTTTATTAAAGACACAGATTTCAGTGAATCACGGAAAACTTTGATAGTAATGCAATTTAAGCCGAAGAATAGACAAAAGTTTACACTTAAAGAACAAAATTTATGCAAAATCATGTTCTATTGATCAGCTGCTAGTTACAACCAGTTGGTAAAATTAGGGATTAGGTTAGCTGGAGAATCCACTGAAAGAAATTGGATAGCCCAATTAGATGTTGAGCTCGGTTTAAATAAAAATGTTTTGAGTAAGCTACCAGTAATTAAACGGATGTGTGCATTGAAATTTGATGAGATGAGCATCAAAAGTATGGAAGAATATTCTGCAAAATACGACGAGATTGAGGGTCTTGAAGATTTGGGAGGTAGTTTAAAAAATTCAAACGTTGCTAAACATGCCCTATTGTTTTGTTAAGATAGCATAAATGCAAAAAATCCCTGGCGTCAATTTTTATGTTTCGGATTCAATGAAAATGGTGCTAGTGCTGAACAATTGCTAGTACTTTTGCGTGAAATATTGACAGCGTTATTCAAAATAGGAGCAGTTGTTAATATCATTGTTTGTGACCAAGGTCCAAATAACCAAACACTTTTTAATAAATTATTGAAAGTTAGTATTGATGAACCTTTTTTTGAATATGAGGGTAAGAAAATTTTTGCTGCTTTTGATTGGCCGCATCTCATCAAACGTTTGCTGTGTCAGTTGAGAGCACATAAATATATTTTCATACAAGACAAAGTTATAATGTCTTATAATGACTTGGTTAAAAATTATGAAATTGACAATTCTAACGATACCTCGGATTTATAAGCATTTTCAAGTGACACTCATTTCAACCCAAATAACTTTGATTGTATGAAAGTGAGTTTAGCTTTTCAACT